AGTACATTATATGGTGCAAATTATATTTTGTATTTTCGTGATGGAATAAATTTCAAATGGAATGGAATTTTATATATTTTTTTCATGTTGTTACGACTCACGTATGATACCATTTATTGTTGAAATATATCTGAAATTGCGTTATATATCAATGCACAAGTGACGTTATAAAATAGTTTACTAAATCTAAATCTGAATTAAGTCTGATGGCTATAATATTTGTAATGGAATGACACATAATAAACTGAGATCTGGTTTTTTGAAATTGAAATCCCCACGAAAAATGACAAATGAAAACGTTATTATGTTGTAAGAATATAATTAAGAACTTATACTTTACAGTTTCACAGAATTTTATTAGATAAAGAGTAAGATAAGATTTTCCACTCACAATTCTCGGTAGCTTCTTGATGTAAAACTATTATGTGGACTTTTTTCATCGTGTTTATACATCTTTTTCTGATTTTTATTTTGGTCATTTACCGAATTTTAAGACTCAGCGTGACGAATTCCAAAAAAATATTTAAAGGGAAATAGATTTCAGATTTCTTATTCAAAACATACTTGCTGAAGTGCATTTTAAGAGGATTCTGTCATGTCTAGTACAGTTCTATTTGTCGGAAAGCGAAAATATAAAAAATATAATATTTTAAATTTAAAATTAGGAGCATCTTTAATAACTAATTATTTTTAATTCTTTTTAATTATTTTTATTATTATTCTTAACAAAACTTCTTATTTTTTGAAATAATATATTTATTTATTTCTTATAAAGCAATATACAACACAGATAAAGTAAAATTTTCATGCATTATCATTTCCACCCAATTGTCTAATCCACAATTGACAGTCAGCCACAACATACATACAACGATCATTATCATTAATTGGAAATTTATAAAATGAAATGGTACTATCCGTCACTTTATGGTTTGTTAATCCACAAAATAGGTAGACGCATTTCTTATAGTGCAGTTTATACTCCATTGGTAATTTTTAAATCTAATTTTAAAATCTATTAAAAACAATTATAAATATCTAATCTACTAAATATCTAATCTACTAAAAACAATTATAAATATAAATAAATATAATGTATATAAATACCTGGACACTTTATTGTTATATATATAAATATATTAACAAACCTATTCATATAACCTATTCGTATAAATAAATATAATGTATATAAATACCTGGACACTTTATTGTTATATATATAAATATATTGACAAAATCATTCATACGACATTGTTTTACAATCAGCGTGTTTTCTTGATATATTTGTCAAAAGTCCCGCAATGAGAGTATGACAATGTTCCAAACTACGAGAAAGAGATTCCTCCACGGAAATTTCCTTCATGTGGAACACATATATTTTTTATAAAGAATATTGAATTGTCGTGATTAAAATAACGGACTAATACATTATAACATAACAGATTCATCTTCGTGTTTTGTTTTTATTTATAACTAATATTATAATAATTGTAATGATATAATTTAAATGATGTTTATTATATTAAATAACACAGAAAACGGGAACAAAACAACAAATAATATAAGATAGACAACACAGACAACAATAATTCGAATTCAAAAACGACACAATTTTATATAACACTCTTTTGATGAAATGACCACTCTCATTCAACACTTTTTTTACGACTCTGCCTTGACTCTGTTTTTTCATTCGCATGACTTTCCTCTTTTCAAAAAGAAAAGTGCTCGATGCCAACGCTGTACTTCTCACATCACATTCATACTTTCTCGTTTACGTATCTCCAGCAAGCAGGCCACCTATTAGAAATAAAAATATAATTACACATTATAATAATTTCGATACTACATAATTGTAATTTTGTTTATTCTTCTAAAAGATTTTGAAGAGTCGTAGAGCAATCAATCTTCAAGACAAATCAGAATGTATGGAAAAGATTTCCAGAATTTTTTATTATCACCTTTGGTAATTTTGTGGGAAAAAATAATGAATAATACTTCTGGTACACACTTGATTAACAACATGGCAACTGCTATTGTGCGGAAAGAGCTCCTCGCATTCAAAATTAAAATTTATGAGGATCTGATTGTAAATTTTTAAGTTGTCTATATATGTGAAAGATGCGAAAAATGTATGAAAATCTTTAATTTGACAAGCTCACTTTGAAGCATGTTCATGTCATCAACAGTGCGTATACCTTATGCTTTAACATTTATTATTGTACTTTTGTCACTGTTCTTAAATGCAATATTATTTCTATCATAAAGATTTGTTGAAAAAAGAATTGACATTCAACAAATTATATTTATGAAAAGC